CCTAACAGGCCTCTCAACCTGCTTTTCTTCAGTTCTCTGTGACAGGGTGGTCTCTACCACTCCATGTTAGGGGTGTCAGAGGATGCCGTCTAGCATCTTTTGCTTACATCCATAATTTGTTGTCTCCTCAAAGAAAAAGGATTGCTTTCTGTTTTATTTTGCTACCCAGTTCATTCAGCACTGAATTTTAGTGCAAGCCCTCAGTGTCTCTACTGTGAAATTTCTATTGCTGATGCAGATATTTTGTTTGTACAATTAATTGCCTAAAAATATGAATTTGGTGCAAAGGAGGGACAAGGCAGGTGCCTATTCATTTTTCTTTATCTAGAATAATATGTAAAGTCCTGGACATGATTTAAGCAATTCAGGAGCCCATTGATTAGATGAGTTTGCCCCTGAGAGCAACTCCAATTCCAAGTATCTGAATTTCCTGGTTTGTGTTTGTGGGCCCCTGCATCTTCAAGTATTTTCTTGCATTAAAATCCCGCTAGCTTCATTGGAAGAGCCGTTGCTCTGGGCGCTTTGATGAGTCACACCAAGCAAGGCAGCAATCAACAGCTTTCCTGGGAGGCGTCTTAACTGCCTGAAGTTAGGGATCTCAGCAACCCTTCCCAGCTCTTTCTTCTCTACACATTCGGAAAGGCAGAAAAAGCCTTTACGCCAATTTAAAAACTTTTCCCCAGAGCTCGGGGGATTAACATATAAACTTAGTGGACAGGGCAGGTAGGTTCCCTGTTCCCCTCCAAACTGAAGCCAAGATTAATTACGGTATTCACCTGTTCCCGAAACAGGCTGGGTAATGGATCCCGGCTGTGCGCTCCCCGAAGCAGCACTAATCCGGCAGTTCTCAGTGGACTCGCTGGCTTTGATCAGCTCATTCCCTCTCAGCAGGCCAGCACGGTAGCTGCAGGACACAAGTGTTTAGTTTACAATCATGTTAATTTTACTTTTTGTTTGTCTTTAGCAGTTGGAGATTAATGAGTAAAAGGGTGCTTAAATTTTCAACCAGCCTTCTTCTAATAGCTTGGTCGCATTGTTGCTGGCAGTTTTATTACTTTGATTTCCTGAATCAATCAGGTATACGGTTTCCTTGTCCAATCTCGGTTATGGTACAGGAAAAGACAGTCCTACCAGGAATTGTTGCTGCCGCTTTGGATTCCACAAAAGGCGATTATGAAAATAGCACCTTTTGTAATGACTTTTCATAGGATTCCATTGCTGAATGCATCCCTGGCATTTTTAACAAACCCAAGTATTTTACAAAGTATGTTACTATACTCATTTTTTTCATAGCTAAGGGATCAAATGAGCCTTTATCTGATGGGATGGTGAAAATTAACTCTGAACTGAATTTGGAGTAAATTCTTTAGAAGAGGAGGTTGGGGAGTTCCCTGGTGGCCTACTGGTTAGGATTCCAGGCTTGCACTGCTGTGGCCTGGGTTCAGTCCCCGCTTGGGGAACTGAGATCCCGCAAGACACGCAGCGCAGGAAAAAAAAAAAAAAAAAAAAATTGAAGAGGAGGTCGTTGCTACTATAGCTCTGAATTCTGTCTTTTGAACTGAGGAAAACAAACTCCATTCCATTGCAGGTTTTCTTCAATGTGTGCTTCCTGGCGTGTATATAAACAAGCAAGGTCTGGATGATTCTCTCTCAAAGAAGCTTCATATCAAAGAAATCTCCCTCGGGTCTAATACATTGTAATGGAGATTTTGTACACACAGTGCCACTGAGTATTGTTCTTGGCAGTAAGGAACAAGGATAACTTTGCTTTAACATAGCGATGATTTTTCTTCTTTTTTTCCCCTATATTCTTTTATTTGAAATTGAAAAATAATGCATTTATGAATTGTCTGTAACAAAAATTAGAAATATTTAAAAATATATACAAAAGAAACTAAGGAAAAAAATCAAACCTATTGATTTTGTTATTAAAATTATTTCTGATCTGGGCTTCCCTGGTGGCGCAGTGTTTGGGAGTCCGCCTGCCGATGCAGGGGACACGGGTTCGTGCCCCGGTCCGGGAAGATCCCACGTGCCGCGGAGCGGCTGGGACCGTGAGCCATGGCCGCTGAGCCTGCGCATCCGGAGCCTGTGCTCCGCAACGGGAGAGGCCACAACAGTGAGGCCCACGTACTGCAAAAAAAAAAAAAAAAAAAAAAAATTATTTCTGATCTTATATTTTTTTACTTAATATGACCATTTATGAAAAAGGTGCTTTAAAGTCTAATACAATGTATTTCTAATGTACTTGCTTTAAATAATTTAATGATATTTTGTTTGGATATATGTTTATAACATATTCTCTTGGTATATTACATGCCTAGTGCTTAAAATGGTGTCTGGTATATATTAGGTGTCTATATATTTTTACTGAATATATGAATAAATGGGTGAGATATCCAGAAATTATCTATTTCTAAATCTTAAAATACATTGGGTTTCTTTTGTATTCTCTTTTTTTTTTTTGCGGTACGCGGGCCTCTCACTGTTGTGGCCTCTCCCGCTGCGGAGCACAGGCTCTGGACGCACAGGCTCTGGACGCACAGGCTCAGCGGCCATGGCTCACGGGCCCAGCCGCTCCGCGGCATGTGGGATCTTCCTGGACCGGGACACGAACCCGCGTCCCCTGCATCGGCAGGCAGACTCTCAACTACTGCGCCACCAGGGAAGCCCTGTAGTCTCTTCTATTTGGAGATTTGTTTAGAAGATTTTGACCTGAGGGAAAAATATGGGGCTAGGTATTCTGAAGGGCGCGTGGGTTCAACTCTTCCACAGTCCCTTAGTTAAAAACTTTGCCAACTCAAAACTTTGTAGGCTAATCTTACTCCTACTTCTTACTGCCACTGATCTTGGCACCTTGGTCTGCTCAGAACACTCATATTTGTTTGTCTTCAGCTTTTCCATCAGTCTTGTTTCATCTGCTTTATATTTTCCAAAAAGTTCCCGATATTCTTGACTGTTGGTGGCATCCTTCTTGAGTGAAATCCATCAATCAGCTTGAATCAGAAATTCTATTGAATCCTTATGATCTGTGCATTTACGTTTTCCTTCACATTAGGTGATGTTTTCTTCTATTATCTTTGAAAAGTTTATTCTATATGTTCTATTCAAGAAGAAAACGAGCTGCATATTTCAACTCCTCTATTTTCCATATAGATTATTTATTCTCACTTTAATCTCTTCCTTTTTTCTGCATTTTGACTTTTTCTCAAGTCTTTGGCACTGAATCTGACACCCATTCACTTTTCTCTTGTATTTTTTCTGCTATTTTCTGAAGGTTTAAAATGTTGCTCTTGCATTACTTATTCACATAGCGATGATTTTTCTAAAGTGCAAACCTGCTCATGATACTTCTTGGCCTAACATCCTTTAATGTCCCCTAGGTCCTCTGGATCACGTCTGACACGTCTACAGACACATCTCTCCACCCTACCAGCTCCTAACACAATCCTGGTCGGGAGGAGGCCCTTACTGAGGAGATGTTTGAGGCACTGAGGAAAGAATTTCATCTTGGGACATTGAAATGAAGAGGCATTCAGGGGTCTGTCCAGTTGTCCCAAGGGCATAATGGCATTTCTCAGGACCTCTAGCCTGGGTGATGTGTGATACCCATTTTGTAAGCCCACTAGGGCCCTTCCTCACCCTCCAAAACTCTAGGGAGGATATTTGAGAGATGGGCCTTAAGAGCGAGCTTGTGAGACTTCACCATGCGGCTGTGAGTGAAGGGCAATGAAGAGAAGATGGGCACTATGCTATTGGGGGTAGAGATAAGATCCGACAAGCTGTGGGGCTTGTGGGATGTGGCTCTGGCAGGTTACATTTTCTAAAGCTGGCCTCACCAATATATATCACATGTTCTCCTTACAATGTGACTTGCCACTCCTCCACTGAGAGATGGGGCCTATGTTCCCAACCCTTGAAACTGAGTGGGCTTTTGTAACCAGTAGTTTGGTGGAATGATGCTGTGTGACTTCTAAGGCTAGATCATAAAAGGCAAAGCAGCTTCCCTCTGCCTGCCTCTTGGGACATGTGCCTTGGGAACCCTGAGCTGCTATATATAAAGTCCTACCACACCAAAGCTGCTGTGCTGGAGATGTGCTCTAACCACACAGAGTTAGAGGGGATGGTTGAGGAGCCCCAAGTGTTCCAAAATCCAGTTGTTGGAGTCTCCCCAGCCTAGGCACCAGGGATTTGAGTGAAGAAGCTTTTGAGGTAACTCCAATCCCAACCAATCAGACTTAAACCTCATAAGAGACCTTGAGCAGAACTGAGTCTGCTGAATTGCTCTGAAATTCTTGACACAGACACTATGAGAGATAAAAATGGTTATTACTGTTCTAAGCTGTTAAGTTCTGGTGATTTGTTACATGACCGTAGCACATGGGAAAGGGAGCCTAAAACATTTACCAAAATTGACCATAACCTGGGCATAAATTAAACCAAATAATATTTGGGATTTTTTTTTTTTTAGCCATTTGGGGGTAACTGCAATTTAATCTTAAAATAAGAACCTAGCAAATACCTTAACAATTGCATATAACTAGGTTGAGTTTATTCCAGCAGTGCAAGGTTGGTTTAACATTAAAACATTAATCAGTGTAATTAACTATGTTTACAGAATAAAGGCAAAGTATTGTTAACTTAATAGAGAAAAAAGGGCATTTGGTAAAATTCTACATATATTCATGACTGAAAAAAAAGGTCTAGTGCCAATTGATAGAATCTTCCCTAATATGTTAAGTGATTTTCCAAATATCTATTGCAAATATTGTATTAAAGAGTAAAATATCAAAAACTTTCCCCCTGAAATTGGGAACAAGAGAAGGATATACACTATCACCATTTCTATTTAATATTGTCCTAGACAGTACAAAAGGCAAGAAACAAAATAAAAGGTATAAGGCTTTGTAACAGGAGGAAAAAACTGTCAATTATATATAACTGACATACTTGTATATGTAGAAAATTCATAATCTACCAATAAATTATTAGAATGAAAACAATTTAAAAAGTTAAAACATTGCAAATTATAGAGAAGTGAGAGTCTAGAGAGGTTGATGGATACAAGTTTAATCTACTATAATCAATTGAATTTCTATATACCATCAACAATCAGAAAATGACAGTTTAAAAATAGCATAAAAAAACTCAAAACACGTGAAGTAGGGAAAATAGGTAACCTTACAGTTAAGAAGACTGGCAGATACTACTTCAACCAAGTGGGCAAAATTAACATTACCAGCAAAGGGAAAAATAGCCATTATGTACCTCTTGATATGGTGCACAAAGAGAGAGACAAAGTTACTTTCATTGTTTTTTCTTCCCCAAATGCATAACCTGCATCCAACCATGAGGGAATATCAGACAAAACCAAATCAGGGATGTTGTACAAAAAATAACTGGCCTGTATTCTTAAACATTTCCAAACAAAGAAAGACTCAGGAAATGTTCCAGATTAAGGAAGACTAAAGAGACATAACAAATAAATGTAATATGTGATTCTGGATTGGACGTTGGACCAGAAAAACCAAAAACCAAAAACCAAAAACACCACATCACTTATTTTCTCTTTTGCTACAGGGGACGTTATTGAAGGCATTAATGAAATTTAAATAATGCATGCAGATTAGAGAATAGTATTATATCAATGTTCATTTCCTGATTTTGATATGTGTATTGTGGTTATGTAAGAGAATATCATTGCTTTTACAAAATACAGATTGAAATATTTAGAGGTAAAATGAAATCATGGCTACAATTTACTCTCAAATATATAAATGGAGGAAAACAACACATTCATGGACTAGAATATAATTCTCCTTAAATTGATCTAAATATTCATGCAGCCTCAATAAAAATCTTAGCAAGCTTTCTGTTTGCTTGTTTTGGTGGGTTTTGACAAGCCAAATTTGAAATTTATATGGAAATGCAAAGAGCCAAAAATAGTTAAGACAATTTTTAAAAAGAAGAATAAAGTAGAAGGACTTGCTACTGAGTAAAACTTATTACAAGTCTACAGTTATTAAGACAGCTTAATATTGTGCAAGGACAGATACTAAGGTCTGTAGACCAACTGGAAAGAATAGTGTGACCAGCAATAGACACACAGAGAAACATTTGATTTATGGCAAAAGTGACACTTCAGAGCAGTGGGGAAAGATGATCTTTTCAATAAATAGTACTGGTACAATTGGATATCCAAACGGAAAAAAAAAAGAAACCTGACCTCTACATCATATCATATAGAAAATTAAACTCCAGGAAACTGCAGATTTGAATGTATGAAGCTTCTAAAAGCAATAGAGGAAAGAATCTTCATAATCATGATGAAAAGAATTTCTTAAACAGGACACAAAGTTGCATTAACCATGAAGGAAAAGATTGATAAATTGGACCAAACCAACATTAATAACATCTGTTCATCAAAAGACACCATTAAGAAAGTGAAAAGGCAAGCCGTAAGATATATATCCAGAATATATAAAGAACTCTTTCAAATCAATAAGACAAACACAGACAAGCTATTTAAAAAATGGGCAAAAGATTGGAACAGATTTCACAAAATGACTACTAATATATGAAAAAGTATTCAAAATCAATGAAATTAAAATGAAAACAACAATACAGTGTGCTGTACACTCCTGCCAGAATGACTAAGATTACAAAGACTGACACATAGCAATTATTGGTTAGGATGTGGAGCTAGTGGGAATCCTTATACGTTGATGGTAGAGCGGTAAATTGGAATGACCATGTTGTAAAACTGCCAGTATATCCAGCTGAATATACACATACCCTAAGATCCAGCAATTTCACTTCTAAATATATGCCCTGCAGAAATGTGTACATACATATACCAAAAGACATGTACAGAAATATTATTCATATTAGCCTCAAATTGGATACAGTCAAAAGTAGAATGGATAAATAAACTGTGGCATACTCATACAATTTAACACTGCTGGCAATAAGAATGAATGAACTGCAACATATTCAACTACATGGATGAATTTCCCAAACATACTGTTGAGCAAGATACAAAAGAACACATGTGGTACAGTTCCATTTACATGCAGTTCAAAACCAATCCTTAAATTTTTTTATTGAATTATAACTTAAGTAGAGAAAATGTACAGGATAATTTTTACATATGTAAACAGTTATGATAACCATCACCCAGATCGAGATACAGAACATTTTCAAGTTCCAGCGGTGTGTCCCCCTCCCAGATGAGAGCTCCCAACATTAACCACTATTCTGACTATTTAGTTTTTTCATAGATTACCATTTCTTGACCAGATTGTTGGTTACATAGATGTGGTCACTTTTTATTATTTATCGATTTGTACATTTAGGATTTGTGCACTTTTCTGTATGTACCTTATACTTCAATAATAATTTTTTTTGAAATTAATGATTCTGTGACTTATGGCCCCTCAAATCCTGCACAGGGACTGTAGAATCTTATTCAGGCGTGTTCTAAGCACTTGTTTCTTCTATTTCTGCTACTGTAGGCATATTTCATGAATTTATGACTATTATCATTTTATGAGTGTATTCAAACTAAAAACTCACATTAAAATAGGAAGGAGGAATAACATTTTAAAAATTACTGTACTATAAAAATCATTGTTTCTCTGTGAGGAGAGATGATGAATATGTGCACTATTTTTTCTCCCTCAGCTTTCCTGGTCTTCTCAAGAACAACCTGAAAGACACTCTGATGAGGTGAAGGAGGGGGCTTGACAATATGCAAACAAAAGCTTCTTGTTGGGACCCAGTGTCTACCTGAACACTCTATAGCTCCGTCAGTCCCATTGAGATTAAGGTATGGCTCCAAATCTGGCCTTCAGCATTAAAGTCTGACACTAATACCCCACGGTAGAATCTCTCATGATGTCTACCAGTATTCTTTGTATTGAGTTCATTAGTTTCATGGCTGGGACTATATATAATTCTGTCTGCTGCTTTCTGAGAAAACTTATAGGAGGAGTGGATACGAATAATTATGGAAACATGGAGTTCTTTGTAGAAATTGACTTTTTGCTGTTTTTATCTCTTTCCCCACCTTCCTCGTGTTGCACAATCTTCCTATTAATATAATGTCCAACTGTTATGGCTAGTGTTAAAGGATATTATTTTTATATGAATTAGTTCTAATTTAATCTCCATGGCATAAAATTACCTCAAATTGAATTGATGGTTTAAGAAATAATCACTTTTAGGAAACAGTTTGGGACATTGTGTTTTGAATACTATTAGGTGAACATCAAGTAGAATTTTATGTTTGAAAAATTACAAGCAGTTAATTGCACTCAAATTATGACTCTCTCCTGAGGAAAGTACTTTGCAGACTAGAGTTATTAGTCTCACTTTGTAAATGAAAAAGCAAGCATTGAAGAAATTAAGCGTTCTGTGTTAATTTAGAGCCAGGAATGAGACTCAGGATTTCTGGTACCAAATCATCTGACCACAGGCAACTTTTAGAATTTAGCTGAAAGTACAAGAATTTGTCAAAATAACCTTGATAAATTAAAATGCAATATTAAAAGGGAATCTCTACCTTATATTCTTATTACTGTACCTTATATTCTTGGTCTCACCTGGTAACCCTTATCACCTAAGCTAGAAACTTGGGAGTCATTCTTGACTCCTGCCTCTCTCGTGTACAATTAGACTTTAAGCTCTGCCAGTTACTCTTTTTCTCTTTGAAATAATTTCAGGCTTTCAAGAATACTGCAAAGAATAGTTTTTCTTTGAACCACTTGAGCATAAATTGCTGACATGGTGCTGTAACACCCCACAAAAATCCCTGGAGATGCATCCAAGTTGTGGGTCAATAGTTTATTATCCTTCTTATCTCTTATCAGCTGGTAATCCCTATTCACCTAAGATAGAAACTTGAGAGTCATTCTTTTTTTCTTTTTTAATGAATGAATTAATTTATTTTTTGCTGCGTTGGGTCTTCGTTGCTGCGCGTGGGATTTCTCTAGTTGCAGCAATCAGGGGTTACTCCTAGTTGTGGTACATGGGCTTCTCATTTTGGTGGCTTCTCTTGTTGCGGAGTGCTGGCTCTAGGTGCATGGGCTCAGTAGTTGTGGCACGCAGGCTCATAGTTGTGGCACACAGGCTTTAGAGTGCAGGCTCAGTAGTTGTGGTGCACGGGCTTAGCTGCTCCTCGGCATGCGGGACTTTCCCAGACCAGGGCTCCATCCAGGAGCCCACCCAGACTTGTCTCATTAGAACAAAAGACATTCCTATCACCCAGAAAATTATCAATACAAATGTCTTAGGAGCTCTGGGTCAGGAATAGGAATGAAAGACTGACTGTTAGAGCAAACGATTTTCCTAGCACCCTTATTTACAAGGATTTTAGGAGCTCTGTGTCAGGAACCAGGAACCAGGGGCAGAGACCAATATATATTTCTTATTATTTCACAAGGACTACTTACCAAGGTGTCGACTCTGTGTAGGTACCAAGCGTGTTTAATAGCAAGCTTTGTTTCCACTCCTAGACCTGCAGGGGCCATGGGAGGGAGTAGGGGAGTCGCAGGAACCCAGAGACAGAGCTGTATGGACATGGTAGTGTTCAGCTGTATGGACATGGTCACCTGAGAGGAGCAGAGACACCCCAACCTTGCTCTCCTGCCCCTCCATCTCTGCTGGTGTCCCCCACCCCTACCCCCAACCTTTGCCTGAACTCAACTGGAAGCCAGAGGGCAACACAACCTGGTGATGCAGTCCTGGGCACAGAGCATGGTGGGGAACGTGGAGAGAGGACCAGTAGGGCAAACAGAAGACATCTGCACAGCAGATAACACAAAGTACCCTTGAAAATCCTTTAAATCCACCCTCAGCCCCTCCGCCACTTAGTGTTAAGGTTTTACATGAGAAACTTTAAATAAGTGACTTATCTAAAGTGATGGCAAATGCTAAAATCTTTCCTTTATTCCCTTGCCTCTGAGAGGACTGCTCTGTCTCAGCCGTTCAACCATGGCTGTTTGGCCTAAGTGGTGGGGAATTCTATAATGTAGATTAGCAAAACGTCAGACATCACAAACTCAAATGCCTTAGGGGGCCAGGCAGGTGAAGAAAATCAGACCAAATAAGACATCAATGGATGCAGTTGCAGGCAGCCAGTGAGTGATCTCGGGCTTCGTTTCTTAATGCTATCTCCTTTCATCAGCCTTCAGTTAATGGTGATGAGCAACTACAGTGTTGACTACTCACGTCTGGATACAGAATGAGATTCATAGAAAGCAGTTTCCCTGGTGCCCTTCCAAAAGACCGACTCCCCAATAATGGTGGGCAGAAGGCTAGGAGCACTTCTCCTCAGGAGGCCTACCAGAGGCAAGCACTGTTCTAAATGCTTTACCTGAATTACCTCCTTTAACCCCTTCCACATCCCTACCAGATAAGAATTATTATGATCACGACTTTACAGGTGAGGAAACTGAGGCACAGAAATTTTAAGGAAGCACCAGGTGACCTGCTACATCTCTTCAGCTGTGCATTCTAGGCAGGACTGCCTAGCTGGTAAGAACCAAGGGGATTATATATTAATTTTTGAATCTTATTTGAATCTAACTTGGTTTAAAAAGTGATTTGAGGGGCTTCCCTGGTGGCGCAGTGGTTGAGAATCTGCCTGCTAAGGCAGGGGACACGGGTTCGAGCCCTGGTCTGGGAGGATCCCACATGCCGCGGAACAACTAGGCCCGTGAGCCACAACTACTGAGCCTGTGCGTCTGGAGCCTGTGCTCCGCAACAAGAGAGGCCGTGATAGTGAGAAGCTTGCGTACCGCGATGAAGAGTGGCCCCCGCTTGCCGCAACTAGAGAAAGCTCTCGCACAGAAACGAAGACCCAACACAGCCAAAAATAAATAAATTAATTAATAAACTCCTACCCCCAACATCTTCTTAAAAAAAAATGATTTGAGGTGTCTAGAATATTTCACCTTTCAAATACATTACGAATCATATCATTAAGGAAATAGTAAACCTAGAAAATAATAAAGTTTACTTTGAGAGGGGCCAGATATTTGTGTGGCCACAATCCTGGCTGCAATAACCTCCTGGGGTGGGAAGTCATAGTAGCCTCTCTTCACTTGTTTGGACACCTGCCTGGGCCTCTTGGGACCTGTGGGTTTCCAGGTGTTACACGTACACTTTGCATTCCAGACATGTTCCTTTGGAACAGACAAACGGCGGGGAGAGGTGGGCTTTCCTTGGCCACTTTAACCCACCACCTGCAGCTCCTCTGTATTGGACAACTTATGAGTGTTTGATCTCAACAATAAGTGTTTAATCACTTCCAAGATACATCAACATAAGACAAACCTTTATTTGCAAACATCTAGCACTACGCTGAATATGAGAGGTGGGAAGGGACCTTGTTCCTGATCTTAGGGGGAAAGCACTCATTCCTTTACCATGAACAATAATGTTAGCTCTGGGTTTTTTGCAGATGCTCTTACAAAGTTGAGGCATTTCCCCTCTATTCCTATTTTTATCATAAATGGGTACTGAATTTTGTCAAATGGATTTTTTCTGCATCAGTTAATCTGATCATGTAATTTTTTATTCTTTAGCTTGTTGACAGGTGGTTTACATTGATTGTTTTTAAAATGTTGAACTAGTCTTGAATACCTGGAATAAATTCCACTTGGTCATGGTATTTAATTCTTTTTTATATATTGTTGGGTTGGATTTGTTAATATTTTGTTGAGGATTTTTGCATCTAAGGTCATGAGAGACATTGGTCTGTAGTTTCTTTTTTGCACTATCTTTGCCTGGTTTTGGTATCAGGGTAATATTAGGTCCATAAAATGAATTAGGAAATGTCCTCTTCTATTTTCTGGAAGAGATTCTGTAGAGTTGGTGTTAACTCTTCTGTAATTGTTTGGGAGAATTCTCCAGTGAAGCCATCTAGGCCTGGAGATTTCTTTTTTGGGAGTTATAGAATTTTGAATTCAATCTCCCTAATAGTTATAGGGCTATTCAAATGAACTAGTTGATATTGGCTAAGTTATGGTAGTTTGTGTTCCTCAAGGAATTAGTTCTTCATCTAAGTTGTCATATTTAGGTGTTCAGAGTTTTTTGTTTTGTTTGTTTTTAGTATTCCCTCATTATCCTTTTGATGTCTTCAGGGTCTGTAGTGATATCACTTGTTTCATTCTGTTATGTTTTTTTAATTAACAGCTTTATTGAGGAGTAATTGATATACAAAAACTGCACAACTTTAATGTATGTAATTTGGTAAGTTTGGACCTACGCATACACCCATGAAACCATCATCACGATCAAGGTAATAAACATAGCCATCACCTCCAAAAGTTTCCTTGTGCTCCCTGTCTTTTTTTGTGGTAAGAACACAATATGAGATCTACACTTTCAACACGTTTTTAAAGTGCACAATACAGTATTGTTAACTGTAGGCACTGTGTTATACAGCAGATCTCTAGAACTTAGGACTCGTCTTGCATAACTGAAACTTTATGCCCATTGAACAACAACTCCCCCCCATTCCCCGCCCTCTGCACCACTCCACCCTAGCCTCTGGCAACCACTATTCTACTATCTGCTTCTTTGAGTTTGACTATTTTAGATACCTCACAGAAGCAGAATCATGCAGTATTTGTACTTCTGTGACTAGCTCATTTCACTTAAAGCAATGTCCTCCAAGTTCATCCATGTTGTCACATATGTCAAGATTTCCTTCCTTTTTTAAGGTTGAATTATATTCCTTTGTATGGATGTACCATATTTTCTCTACTCATTCATCTGTCAGTGGACATTTAGGTTATTTCCATATCTTGGCTATTGTGAATAATGCTGCAATGAACATGGGGGTGCAAACAGCTCTTCAAGATCCTGATTTCCAAAAAATATATTTATCCAAAAGAATTAAAATGAGAAAGAATTGAAATATTTTGTCGTTTCACTGACTCTTTGCTCTGTTCTCTCCATTCTGCTATTTGTTTTATTGGTTAATATCTTTAAAATATATTTTTCTTGGGCTTCCCTGGTGGCGCAGTGGTTAGGAATCTGCCTGCCCGTGCAGGGCACACGGGTTTGAGCCCTGGTCCGGGAAGATCCCACAGGCCGTGGGGCAACTAGGCCTGTGCGCCACAACTGCTGAGCCTGTGCTCTAGATCCCGTGAGCCACAGCTACTGAGCCCGCGTGCCTAGAGCCTGTGCTCCACAACAAGAGAGGCCACCGCAATGAGAAGCCCACGTACCGCAACAAAGAGTGGACCCCGCTCTCTGCAACTGGAGAAAGCCGCGT